CCAGCGATCTAATTGTTTGATTCTAAAGGCTTGCAGAATATTGCCTTGTTTTGTCTTGTTTTGTTTTTCTTCCCAGAAGACCCTTCATAAGCTGGGTTTGGCTTCCTGCTCTGTTTACATCCAGAGCAGCTCTGATGACACTGGATGCCAGCCGATGTCCCCGCCAGCTCACGTTCACTGGGAGCAGTCCTGTGCCTTGCTCCTCGCCAGTAAACATTCGAGCTGGGCTTTGACCGGGGCAGTCTGATTCCAGAGCCCAGGCACAGAGCCCCTTTGCTTTCTCCCAAGCTACAAAGCTTTTATATAAACCTCAGTGGGAGCAGCCACCATGTTTCCTGAAGGTTTCATCTCTGCAGGCAATCTACACCCCCACGTGCTTGGCTGGCTGAGAATACCCCAGTCACGAGGCATGGGTCTGAAGTCTGGCTCTGCTGTTTTCTGACTGGGTGACCTCAGACAAGTCAGGTAACCTCTCCAAGCGTCAGTGTAGTTCTCCACAAAATGGGAATGTTAATAATCCCTTCATTATAAATTCATAATAAGGCTTAAAAGAGACAGACATGTAAAGCACTTAGTAGAATGTCTGACACATGGATGCACTCAGTGTTCAAAAAGTTATTAGTAATAGAGGTAAACCACAAAGATATAGAAGTCCCTATTTCTAATGTTTCTATAAGCCTCTATAGAAAAAAAAAAAAAGGTCTTTTCTTGGTGCTGAACAAGAACTCTTGGCTTACTGAGGACTTTGTCATCACACCTGACATTGAGGCAGCAGTTGCATTCTACATTTAGACATAATCGCCCTTATAAGTTTTGAAAAACCAGTGTTCTAAATTCACGCCCCAAATATACTCACTTGTGAACTGGGACTGGCGGCCCCCGAGCCCGCACTGCCGCACCTTGCACCCTCGGAAGAGTCCATAGTAAATGTCCCCGATGAACTTGACCAGCTCTGGATCCGTGGCGTTGACCAGGTCCACTCCAGTCTGACAGAGGATTTTCCCACTCAGCCAGTGGGGCACCGCCAGGGCAACGATGATCAGGACGAAGGAGGAGAAGCTGAGTAAAGATGCCAGCCCATACCACGCCTTTCTGAACCATCCAGGCATTCTAGCGGGTGCAGGTCATGCCCAAGGTGTCGTCGGAGCAGCAGTGGGGGTCATTGACATCATCTGGACACCTGGCAATTCCCCGCTCTAAGGTCAGCTCTTCCAAATACACCATTTGAAGATTTCAAATCCATTCCCTGGTCGTCCCTCAGCACCTGCCCCCACAGCCCGTGTTTACTACAACCACATCCGGAAGTCTCTACAGAGACGGTCTTCACCCGCCTGCAGTGGACAGGAGCGTGTTACTGAAGGAAGTAACCCTATATCTCCCACTAGACTAATGTTTCAGCAGAGGGGTTAATTGTCCCTCATTGCAAGTATTTAAATATCCCTGGCGTGGACCTCTTAATGACGAGGAAGTTATTAGCAGGCAAAACCAGGCAGATCTGACTATAAAGAGACACTAAACCAATCTCAAAAAAAGCAAAGTGTAGAAGGAAAATGAAGATAGAATGATTAGCACTTGAATATTACCAACAGTGCACAGTATCAAATGTTGATCTCTTTGATGGGCGCCCGGGCATTTCTTTCTCTAAAATGTCACTGCTTTCAGGATCTGCAGAACTGTTATTAATACCATAAATGACCACTGTTCTCAAGGCTTTTAATTGAAATGTGTAAACAAAGCTTTATGACTTCTGGATTTATCACTGGATGCATCTACCATGGGTAAAATTGCAACATGAGTCAATTTGGGGCAGCCTGGACCCCAACAATTAACATTCCTCTCCTCCATTGCCCTGCCTATCATGTCATCTGAAATGGGACAGAAAAGTGCTCTTCTAACGTGTTAGCAAATAACAACCACCCAGCTTGGGTATTTATCTCTTCTAACATCGAAGATCTGTCTTTTTCATTTTATCTTTCAGTTTTATTGAGATATAATTGACATATAGTGCTGTATAAGTTTAAAGCATACAGCATAACAACTTGACTTACATATATTGTGACATGACTACCACGATGTTTAGTTAACATCCATCGTCTCATATAGATACAAGAAAAAAATGTTTTTTTCCTTGTGATGAGAGCTTTTAGGATCTACTCTTTCAGCAACTTTTAAATATACCATAGAGCGGTGTTAACTGTAGTCATCATGTTGTACATTACATTCCCAGGACTGACTTATCTTATAACCAGAAGTTTGTACCTGTGACCACCTTCATCCAATTCCCCTCCTGCCACCCCCCACCTCTGGTAACCACTGCAGATCTTTTTCTTTTAATCTGTAGGCACTAGGAATAAAATATTTCTATCTTATACTGTGGCTTTTTAATTTTGACTTTTAGTCTATTGCTGAGCATCAGTTGAATGTCATGAGACTGGCAGCAGCCACTGGCAATAACTGTGGGGAGCAAAATTAGGCAGAAGTGGCACAGTAAAATTCCGTATGTGGTCACGGAAGTCTGGAAGGGGGTTCAGTAGGTTGCATTGTTAACCAACAGGAGTTCCAGGAACCCCTCTTGGAGAGCGCAGAGGGGGCAGAGGAACACGGGAGTGGAAATGGCATTTTCCTTCCCTATAATTGAGGTTCACTTCCATGGTCTCTTCACAATGAAAATAAAGAAGCGTGTCCCCAAAGCCTGTGCAGAGCTCTACCACGTACAAAGGGCCCTTACCATATGCTTGCTCACCCCGATGCTGCGGCCACCTTTATGGTGGGCAGGAGATGGACTGTGCCAGCGATTTCTCTCATGGGAAAAACGGGTGTCAGGGCTGACGCTGGAGCTCACATCTTTGAAACACCACAGCTCATCTTCATCATGATAACCTTGAAATAGCACATGCTTTTCTGCTAACGAATAACAAAATACAAATAAAATGCTTAGAAGAGTGCTCGGCACATGAATAAGTGACCAATAATGTCAGTGATTTTGACATTAAGCACGCTTTGAGAGGCAGGATGTGTAAAATACTTTTGAGTCATATTTCTGCCCCAAATGATGGTCCTATGTCAACTTTTGGTGTTTTAAGGGCTAAGCAATTATTTTTAGAAAAATTCTGTGGGAAACAACCGATTCCCAGCAAACCCTTGCCGTGCTGAATGGAGGTGTGGTTAAGGAGGACTCCAACTACTGAAGACCTGGGCTCCAATTCCTACTCTTCTCAGCAAGTGTCTGAGACTCTCATGCCTCAGTTTCCTAATCTGTCACAGGATTGTTGTGTGAATTAAAACGAAATAGCACATGCAGATCACTCAGCACAGTGCCTGGCACACAGAAGGTGCTAAATAAGTGATCTTTCCCTCCCCTCCAGGCTTCTAGCGATTCTATTCCCGGTAATGAAGCTTCTGACAACAAAATGTGTTGCGGGCTGCAGCCTGTTCTCCACGGCCGTATTTCTGCGTGCCTTATCTGGTACAAGTTTATTGAGCAAACATCTGTGTGTGTGCTGTGTACAAGGCACCGTGTGTGGGCAGATGGTGACACAAAGATGTATAATATGGGATCCTGCGTCAAGAAGGTTACAATAGTGTTAGGGCAGTGGTTCTCTGCCAAGAGTGATTTTGCTCCCCAGGCGATATTTGGCAATATCTGGTGATACTTTTTTTTAAAGATTTTTTTATTTTTTCCTTTTTCTCCCCAAAGCCCCCCGGTACATAGTTGTGTATTCTTCGTTGTGGGTTCCTCTAGTTGTGGCATGTGGGACGCTGCCTCAGCGTGGTCCGACAAGCAGTGCCATGTCCGCGCCCAGGATTCGAACCGACGAAACACTGGGCCGCCTGCAGCGGAGCGCGCGAACTCAACCACTCGGCCACCGGGCCAGCCCCTATCTGGTGATACTTTTGATGGTGATGACTAGAGGGGTGGGGGGCTGCTACTGGCATCTAGGAGGTAGAGACCAGAGATGCTGTAAACATCGTACAATGTACAGGTCAGCCCCCTCCCCTCCCAGCATCCCTGCACAAACACTGATGGGGCTGTGGTTGAGAAACTCTGTCTTAGAGGCAGAGGCCGTGGGCAGAAATAACAAAAATACGAGAGAAAATGCCAGGCTCTGCTGCTGGGGATGGGAGGTGCCCTCGGGTGGGGCTCAACTGTGAACCTGCCGACCTTTGATATTCTTGCCAAACAGCGCTTACATACAGTCACGAGGTCAAGGACAGCGTTATAAGACTCTACATCGTTACACTTGTGTCCCTAGCAGACCAAAGACCTGTTGTGCTCTATGTACCCCTAGTTTTTAGAAATCTTGTATTTTCCGTGGTATTTTTTGGTTTAAAAGCATTAATTTGTGAAATGTAAACATTTAGAATATAGTATACTACAATTTTTGTATCACTCTTTTGGCAATTTTAGTTTTTAAATATGCTCCCAAATAGATATTTAAATGTCCAACCCCACCCCACCAAAATGGAAGCGGCCTGGAACTCACAATCTCTAAGAGGCCCAATGCACTGTAACAGAAGCAGTAGCAAAAATGATAATATTAATAATGCTCAGTTGGCATTAATTGAGCTCCCACTACTAGCCACGCATTGCTCTAAATACTCTAGTATTACCTTTAAAAATCCTTTTCAAAACCCCAGGAGGCAAGACAATTAGTATTCCGATTTTACCGCTGAGGAGATTGAGGCACAGAGCAGTTAAGGAAGTTGTTTAGGGCCACACAGCTCTTAAACAGGAGGGCCGGGCGGCCGGGCATCAGAACCTCACTCATAGAGGAAAAATATACGTGGTTTGTCTTGTGCCCCCGGTGGACTCTCAGCATCTGGAGAGCAGGGGCCAACCACACTCGCGCACACCAGCTCTCCACCCACCGCTTAGCACGCCCGAGGGCCCAGCCCTGGGCGGGCGGCGGGCGGGGCTTCGCGGGTCCCGGCACCTGGGGGCCGCGCGCTAGGCGGCAGCAGCGGGCGCGGGGCGGGCGCTGCGGCCGCGCGGTCGCTCTTGGCGGGGCGGGGCGTGCGGCGCGCGGCTGTCGAGCACGGGGCCGCGGGAGGAGCAGGATGGCGGCGGCCGCGGGCGAGGCGCGCCGGGTGCTGGTGTACGGCGGCCGGGGCGCGCTGGGCTCCCGCTGCGTGCACGCATTCCGGGCCTGCAACTGGGTACTGCGGTGGGGCCGCGAGCGCCGGGGCCGCGCCGCCGGGGGTGGGCGCGGGGATGACGGGGGCCGGGGCCCTCCCGGGCAGCCCGGGAGGGCAGCCTGGAGGAGGCCGGGGGGCCCTGGGCACCCCAGATGTGGGTGCTTGCACGTGCATGCAGTGAGCTAGAAGTCTGTTCCTGTCTCCGAGTGGGTGCCCACGCCCGGCCCTAGGTGCGGGGATTTTGCTTTGCAAGGACAGTGGTGGGGGGCTGCTCCCTCGGCATTCGCCAGGCCTGGGAAGTAGGGCATGACTCGGGAGAAAATTCCGTAGAGGGAGGAAGACAAGAGGAGCGGAATTGAGGGGACATGGAGAGAGAATGAGAAGGAAAGATCTGGAATTATACTGCCTGCCTCGGGCTACTAGTCTTCTGACCGTGAATTGCTTGCTTAATGTCCTCGAACCTCAGTTTCCCCATATGTAAAATGGGGATAATGATAGTGTTTACCCCTTAGGGGAGTTGTGAAGATTAAATGAGATAATTGGACTCGTTGCGTCTAAGTTATGTGACTCGTGGTAGGAACTGTTTAAATGTTAGCGGCTATTGATATACTTATTTTATATATAAATATATATATTATTGATATATTGATAAATACTCATGTTTAAGCCTCCATTGGGCCTAATACTTTGAAGGCTCAGCCCCCAAATGCTGGGGGCTTCTTTGTTTGCAAAGGCTGTTTCAACTGCTCTGGGTAATCAAGTATCTGCTCGCAGAGGGCTGCAAATAGGAGCCCCCTGGTCACTGGCCAGGGACCCTGAGCCGGGCCACCCAGCAGGGCGCAGCGCATTCCCGTGGACACTGCCCTGGGTCTTCTCGCTGCAGCTCTCACCTGCTTGAAGTTGCGCGGCGCTCTGGGGAGCCTTCCTGGGAGTTTAGTTAACAGCAGCAGCCTGGCGAGGGTGCCCTGGGACCAGAGAGAGTCCCAGGGTTTTCTTCTCGCTCAGAATCTGGTATAGGAATATGCTTCTCAGGGATTCTAAACATACCACCCCTTTCCTGCCATCTACCAGCTCGGAACCTGGGAAGACTGATTTGCAGCGTCTTCCCAGGTCTGTGGAGATGGGTGGTGGTGACAATGGGAGGAAGCATTTAAGGAGTGCAGGCCAGGGGCCAGGCACAGCGCTCCCCATACTCTTAATTGCATTTACTCTTCCCATTAACGTTAATACAGTAGTCCTGTTGGTATCCACGTGTTACAGAGGTCAGGGCTGTGCTGTCGCTTGGTGGGGGCACTTCCCCCTGCTGGGTGCTCAATTTGGTTTACCTTTGACTTGACAGAATCTGGTGAGCTGGTTGACCTTTGGCTCTCTGTGTTCCATCTGTGTCCCATTCCCCTCCCCCCTTCTTCATTCATAGGGTCTCTGGGAGGATGAGATGCAGCCATTTCTTTGTCTCTGCCCTCCATGGCTTGTGACATAGAAGTCGTGAGTGTTCTTGAGTGGATGCTGATCTGGCAGAACCAGGATTTAAACCTGGATCTGTCTGGTTCCCAAACCCGAAGCCATCCCTCTATGGTCTGGGACAGGGGTTGGAAAACTAGTTCTCCATGGGCGGAATCCTGCCTGCCACCTGTTATACAGCCCAGGAGCTGAGACTGGTTTCACATTTTTAAATGGTTGAAAAGAAATCAAAAGAAGATTTTGGGATGTGAAAACTATATGACATTTATACTTCAGGATACAGAATTTTATTAGTGCACAGCCACGCACATTTGTTCTCCTCTCGTCTATGGCTGCTCTCTCGCTACCATAGCAGAATTGGGTAGTTGCAACAGAGACCAGAGGGCCAGCAAAGCCTGAAATATTTACTCTGGTTCCTTATAGAAAACGTTTGCAGACCGCTGGTCTGGGAAGTCTCTGGAAGTGCAGGGTTTGGCTTTCAGAGGTGAGAGTAGAAGAAAAATGAGGTGTTTGGAGGCTGAATGGGCCTCAGTAAGGGGTAGGCTGGCTGACGCCAAGCATCGCTGTGAGGAGTGGGAGAGGGCAGTAGCTGGGTCCTTTCTTCTAGTGGGTTTTCATTTAAGCCTTTATCTGTTTCCACTCTCCACCGTTTCTGGGCGTGGATCTTTAAAGGAATAACAACTTATTATCTCTTGACCAAAGCTGTTTTCTCCTTCGCTCCAGTGGGTTGCCAGCATCGACATCGGGGAGAATGAAGAGGCCAGTGCTAGTGTCGTCGTTAAGATGACAGACTCATTTACTGAGCAGGCTGACCAGGTAATTCCAGAAAAGGCCCCGCTGAGCATCGTTAGGGGAACTCTGGGCAGGAGTTTCCACCAGCAGTGTGTTCCTCCTTTTGTTTCAAGTATTGTTTCTCTATTTATGAGAGCCATTTGTACTCATTGAAGGAACTTTGGAAAAAGTGAAAAAAAAAATAGAAGGAAGATAAATTATCTGTAATTTCTTTCTTTCTTTTTATTTTTTTTAAAGATTGGCATCTGGGCTAACAACTGTTGCCAATCTTCCTTTTTTTTTTTCTGCTTTATTTCCCAAACCCCTCTCCCCGGTTACATAGTTGTATATCTTAGTTGCAGGTCCTTCTAGTTGTGGGATGTGGGACGCCGCCTCAACGCGGCCTGACTAGCAGTGCCATGTCCGCGCCCAGGATCTGAACCCTGGGCCACGGCAGCAGAGCGCGTGAACTTAACCAACTGCTCGGCCACGGAGCCGGCCCCTGTAATTTATTTCTGATTAGCTTACTGTTCTCGTTTTGCCCCATTTGCTTGTCTTTCCTATGCATACTATATGTTATTAGTTTTACAAGTTGAGATAATCTTGTATTTTATATTTTATGGTCAGCTTTTTTTAACTTAACATTTCATTTAAATACTTCTCCACATCACTTAATAAAAGCTCCGTGTTGACATGTAATTTTTAGTTTTATGGATTGGTCACAATTTCCTTAGTTTCCACCTATTGTGCGTTTAAGTTTTTTGCAGTTTGTCTTTTTCACCATTATCAAGAATGCCGTGGTGGACATCTTTGTCTCCATCTCTGATTATTTAGGATATTTGTAAAAAGTGGAGCTCCCAGTTGAAAGCACGAATACTAACCAAACACGTTATTTTTAATTATAAAATGATATGCTATTGTGAAACAAGAAGTCAAACAAAACTATAAAAATACAACTAAACTGTGAAAAACCTGTTTCTCTCTGCGATAGTGTCACTCCCCAGAAGGAAGCACTGTTGACAATTCAATGGGTATCTTGGTATCAATATCCAAGATGCTCTTGGAAGAGCCATTCCAAGGAGCTGCCGGGAAGACTCCTTTGTGTGGCTCTCTTGCCAGCGCATCAGCCCACGTTCCCCAGGACACCTCCACATTCTTTGTGTGATGTGCCAGTTTTCACAAGCACCCGGTGATGCAGGCGGCCAGGTGGTGGTGGTCCCATTTGATAGCGGAGGAGACTGACTTTCAGAGACTCAGTGACGTGGCAACAAGCTAGCTAGTGATGGAGTTGGAAGCGTGGGTCTCCTAATGAGACTTACGGGCAACTTATTAACCAGAGACTTATTAAACACTTATTAACCAGACACTTATTAACCACTTATTAACCAGAGGCTTATTAAGCACTTGAATGAGTTCAGGGGCTGCTTTTTGTTTAGTTATGCTTTCTCTAGTTATGTGAACACTGTTGGGCGTTTTAGGGTCCTTAGCTAATTTTTATAACAGACTTTAAAAATTTTAAAAGTGGTGCATGTGTGATATCGAAAATACAGTAAAATAAAAAGAAAGGGGAAATCATTTCTAGTCCCACTGTGCAGTTGTTTCGTTATATTTTCTTCTAATCCATTTCTCCAAACATATACATGTATAAATCTGAAAATTAAAACCTCTAAAACGGTGGGCATTTGCCCTTTCTAAAGCATCAGTTTGACATAGATTAGAATGTAAAAAGCCAGCTGGCTTATTCTAGAATATAGATTTTTGTTGTTCTTTTCTTAATATGGTCCTAATGTTTCCTACGCTTAATGATACATATTGGCTTTAATGGGCTTAATAGCAAACCCGACATGGCATTGTTATGTGTCAGGCACCATGCTAAGTGCCTTGTTCACATTAGCTCGCTTAATCTCCATAACACCCCCAAAACAAAGTTTCTGGTTTTATCTCCTGTTTAGAAATGGGGGGTTTAGGCACAGAAAGGCCCTGGAATTTGCTCAAGGTCAAACATGTCGTAGGTGGCCTAGCCAGGATTTGAACCTGGGCAGTGGGATTTGATGTCTGCGCTCCTGTCTGCATGCTGAGCTGCCTCTCTGCAGAATAGAATAGCTTCCTGTGAATCAGGTAGTAAATGCTAAAACCAAGTGCAAGGGGAGCACCTGGGCTTAGAGCCACGTGGCCCTGGCAGGTGTGGTTCTCTGTAATCAGTGTCTCTTCTGCTCCTATTAATTGCAGGTTCTGATGTCCATGTGCTTTGTTGATGTGGTCCTGTCTGAGACTTGACTATACAGTGAATCTTTAAGAGAAAGGTTGAGAAATGTCTTAGTTATTATAAGCTTTAGCTTTTAAAGTCATTAACCCTGTCTACTTCCCCTCCCCCACTCACCCATTTAAGAATTTCTGGACAAACAGCATGACATCCACTTTTTGTTTTGGAAGCTCCAGAAGAGGAAATTGAATCCTAACATATGTGAAATTGGCCCTCTGGGCACGAAATTCACCAGCAACAGTGAGGAGGTGAAGAATTGAGAAAGGCGTTAAATCTAGAAAACTATTGGGCAGAGAGCAAAATTTAAGGGGAAGGAATTTAAAAATGCATAGATATTGTAAAAAACAAGTCAAACAGCTGCACTGTAGCTGCGGACTCCAGGCTTCCCTAAAAAGTGGAGTATGCACGGGTTGTGTACACACAGATGTCAGGTGACCCAGCTTCCCGCAGCTGGGATCTGGGCTCTGGCAACAGGACACGGCTTAAGAATGAAGGGAGGGGGCAGCCAGGAGAAAGGTCACCAAAAGATAAGTTGGGATTAGCTGAAATACTCAGGAATTGAGGCCAAGGAAAATTCAGGAATCTTCTTGAAAGGTTTAGGTGTGGACTGTTGGGAGAGAAAAGATTGGTTTCATTGCCAAAGCATTCTCTTTGAAAGAGTACTTTGAGGCCTCAGAATTTGCAGGGAAGAGCAGTCAGGGACTGAGATGTTGCTGCTGGGAGAGACAGCATCTTGTGTTGTTTTAAGATTGATCTTAATGAAGCAATTGGGAGGCATCATCTCGGCCATTCCAGAGAAATATGGACAAGGGTCGTGGTTGTTGGCCTAGGTTGCCTATCGTCAGATTTTGTTTTAATAAATTGTAACAGAAGGACATGTATATATTTTCAACACTTTAAAAATTTCAATCAAACAGAAGTAGAGAGAAAATTAAAATGAACACCTGTGTACTCAGTATTTACCAACATTTTGCCACTGACTGTATTTTTTTATTGCTCTTTTTAAAAAAATAACCTCTTTGGCATTTTCTTTGAGAGTTGTAGTTAAGGGGATTTTTGTATTGGGCGAGAGTAGAATTGATTATCTCAGATTATGATTCTGTGATTTGCAAAGAGAGTCTAGAAAGAAATATACCGGACGGTTAGCCGTGGGCATTGAAGCTCGGTGATTTTTCTTTTTTGAGGAAGATTAGCCCTGAGCTAACTGCTGCCAATCCTCGTCTTTTTGCTGAGGAAGACTGGCCCTGAGCTAACATCTCTGCCCATCTTCCTCTACTTTATATGTGGGACGCCTACCACAGCATGGCTTTTGCCAAGTGGTGCCATGTCCGCACCCGGGATCCGAACCGGCGAATCCTGGGCCGCCGAAGCGGAACGTGCCAACTTAACCGCTGTACCACCGGGCCGGCCCCTCTCGGTGATTTTTTTTTTTTGACCTTTTCCTGCTTTTCTTTATTAATTGTTTTATTCCAGGGAATGCTTGTGTCCCCACCCTTTAGAATGTTTAAAAGAAGGCTCTAGATTGCTTTATAAACTTCACTTTGAAATGTAATTGGGCTTCACTATCCAACATGCTTGATCCTAGATTGGTCCTACATCTAATTTTGAAAATAATTGCCAGGTACTGTTAACTGATTTAAAAAGAAATGAAAAATAAACTGATGTATCTGTAAAAACCTCTTTAGGTTTCCCTGACAGTTTATGTGTCTTTTTCGTCCTTTTGTTTAAGGTGGCTGCTGAGGTCGGAAAGCTATTGGGTGAAGAGAAGGTGGACGCGATCGTTTGTGTGGCTGGAGGATGGGCTGGGGGCAGTGCCAAGTCCAAGTGTGAGTCCTTTTCTCCGTTAATCATTCGCTCTGCTCTTTTTGCAGCTGGCACGGGTTGGGTCTATACTCTGTGCCAGCCCAGGCGTTTTTCTGTGTGTCTCGAAGAATCTTTGCAGGAGCTCTGTGAGGTAGGGGTTAACACCCCCATTTTGCAGATGAAGAAAAAACTTCCCGTAGAGGGGACTAGGGGAGGGGACATTGAATTTGAAGTTTAAAATAGAGGCAGAATGAAATCAGCATTGTTTCTGCCCTGATCTTACAGGGCTTAATTCTGGGTTTGGGGTGTGTGTATGAAATGGAGAGATCAATCTGAAGGTCAAAAGGACTCAACATTGAGCTTTTATTAAAGCTGAGTACGTTTTTCAACTTTTTATTGTGAGCGTTTTCAAACCGACAGAAGAGTTGAAAGAACAGTTCACTGAACGCGCTTCTGCCCTCCATCCAGATTCGCTCGTTGTTAACATTTGCTACAGTTGCGCTCTCTTGCTTTCTGGCATGTGTGTCCTCTGTGTATTTTTTTGTTAACCTTTTGAAAGTAAGTAGACACTTCACTGCATTTCACCATGCATCTCCAAACATTAAACCCATTCTCCTGCTTTATCATAATACCATTACCATACCTAAGAAAATTAACAGTAATTCTATAATATTAATAATATTTAGCCTATATTCAAATTACCCCAGTTTATTCCATATGATTTATAGTTGTTTTCCCTAAATAATTTAAAATCAGGGTTTATGCACTGCATTTTGTTGTGGTTTTTAGTCCGTTAATCTAGAATTTTTTTTTTTCTTGTGATAGACTTTTTTGGTGAGTCCAGGGCACTTTTCATATAGAATGTCCCACATTCTGAATTTGTCTGTTTCTTTAAGGTACCATTGACTTTGTTCCCCTGGCCCTGGTGTTTCCTGTGAACTGGGATTTAGGTCCAGAGACTGGCTTAGATTCAGGTTGAATATTTAGGAGGGGAGAATTCTTCCTGAGTGGTGGTGTGTGCCTCACGTTGCATCCCCCTGGGACTCTCACCCTGTCAGTTCGCCCTCCACATCCATCGTGATGCCACATTGGATGGTGGGTAAGGTGGCAGCAACAGACTTCCTGTAAAGGTGCATTTTTCTGTTTGCAATTAGTAAGTGATCTGTGGGATGCTGCTTTGGCGTTGTGTGTGAATATCCTGTTCCCGAACACTTTGAGCCTCCAAATTCCCAAAACCTAATGGTTTTAAGCGTCCATGGCTAGTCCCTGCCTGAGTCAGTTAGCCCAGTTGGGGTTGGACAAGGAAAGCTTTCTAATTCTATCATTCCTTCTGCATTTCTTAGTTAAAGCCATTTAAGAAGGAATTGATTTTCTGTGAACCATACTTAAATGTGAAACTGGTATTTTGTGGGGTGATCAGGTTGGCAAAACACTCTGATGGCCTTTTGGGTGTTTGGGGAACAAGAAGTGATTGATGTGGATCCATCAATTTTCTTTTCAAGTCGTTTTTAGCAGGGAAATGCAATACCTTGGTTATCACCTACTGAAGACCCCTATCACCTACTGACGACCCCACTCCCATGTCAGGAGGGCTTTCTTTCTAGACCCCTGGGTCCTGTGTGCCCTGTAAGGGAGGGAGGGATGGTTGCTCAGCCATGAGGTGACGTACGTTACCACCTGTTCCTCCTTACATCTCTAGCAAGGCCAGAGGGATAAAACCAGTGTGAGGCGGTTGTTATTTCAGCTTTCGTTTAAAGAGTCTTTAAAGCTGGCATTAAACTTTCAACCATAAAAAATGTAGCTCTATAAAAGCTCTCTTTATGTCCATGTGGTAAGTCCCTCAGATTTCTATCACGGGTAAAAGCTGACTTAGACATGTGGTTCTTATTACAAATCCAATGCCCTTCACGAAGGAGAGCAATCTTTGAGTTACAGCCAGTCCAGCTTATCTGTTAACCGTCCTCGTTTATTGGCTAAAATGTTACCACTTTACAGGTGACGAAGCTGAGACGCGGGTGATCCCATGACCTGGATTCGAACCCGTGTCTCTGACCACAAGCCCTGTGCCGTTTGTACTAGACTTTGTCGTAGACAGGGGCCGGGATAGTGGGGACGGCTGTGAGTGCTTCCTCGAGTGTTGGGTGCCGTGAGTTGAACTCACATTTCCATTTCACTCAGCTCTCTTTAAAAACTGTGACCTGATGTGGAAGCAGAGCGTGTGGACGTCGACCATCTCCAGCTACCTGGCCGCCAAGCACCTCAAGGAAGGAGGCCTCCTGACCTTGACTGGGGCCAAGGCCGCCCTGGAGGGGACTCCTGGTAAGCCTTCATTTCCCCGTCTGTGAAATGGGAACGCTCACACCTGCTCACTGGGGCTGCTGGGCACTTCGTGAGGTGAGGAATGTGAAAGCCCTTTACCCCTTAAGGACCTTTACACTTGGCTGGATTTTGCTTCCTTTTAGGCCTGAATCTTTAGGGGAATGATCCTTTCATTTGATTGTCCTCATGTTCATGGTGGTTAAGGAGCGCCGTAATCTGGCACCTCCTTCCCGTCTGGTTTATTTATCTGTGATCCACCCAGGGAATAATGCTGTAGTGGATATTAATGAGTTAAAAAACATGTATTATCATCACATTCTGTTCATGTGTCCCAGGGAAGCGGCTTGGCCATTGGAAATAGTGTGGGCTGTAGAGTGAGAGAGGCTGGGGTGGATTCTTCACCCTAGCTATGTGGCCTTGAACACATTATCTGATCTCTTTGACCAAATTTCTGCTGTAGTTTCCTTAATTGTAATATACTGATGATAGCATCTGCCTTGAACAGTAGCTGTAGAGCATTAGAGAAATTGATCTATATAAAGTGCCCAGCACATGGTAAGTCTTATTATAGTCACTTTCTTTTTTCTTTGCTGAGGAAGATTAGCCCTGAGCTAACATATGTTGCCAATCTTCCTCTTTTTGTATGTGAGCTGCTGCCACAGCATGTCCACTGACACACGAGTGGTGTGGGTTCATGCCTGGAAACTGAACCCAGGCTGCTGAAGCAGAGCACACTGAACTTAACTGCTAGGCCAACGGGGCTGGCCCCTATGGTCACTTTTTTCATTTCACATATATTCTCATTTAATCCTGGAGAGTAGATGTCATTATTATCTTTTTCAATATACAGGTAAGGACACTAAAACTTAGAGGGGTTAAGTAACTTGTCTGGGTTTATGCCATAAGTAAGTTACAAACTTACCTTGAATTGAAACCCTGATCATTCAAATTGTGTGCTTTTCCCGTGACACTGTGCAGATGCCAGTTTCCTTCGCATTTTTCACTCCCTGTGTTGGTTTCCTAGAGCTGCCATAACAACGTACCACAGACCAGGGGGCTTAAATAACAGAAACTTATCCTCTCTCAGTTCTGGAGGCTGCAAGCCTGAGCTCGCGGTGTCGGCAGGGCTGCTTCCTTCTGAGGCCTCTCTCCCTGGCTTGCGGGTGGCCGTCGTCTCCCAGTGTCTTTCCACGGGTCTTCCCTCTGTGCGTGTCTGTGTCCTAACCTCTTCTTTAGCACCCACCCTAATGACCTCATTTGAACTTAGTTACCTCTTTAAAGGACCCGTCTTCAAAGACAGTCACGTTCCAAGGTGCTGAGGGTTAGGACTTCCATATAGGAATTTTGGGGGGACACAGTTCAACCCATAACACTCCCTTTGGGCCAAAGGAATTTAAGTGGGGGCGGGGTGGGGAGACAGACAGGCAGAAAGTGTCTACCTCCGCGACCGAAGTTAAACTCAAAAAACCACAGGAGCTGTTTTTGGACTTCTTTAGTACGTGGGAGAGACTGAGCACCTTTTCAATTTTAAGGTAAGTCACTGAACTGTGAGGCTCTTACAGATGGATGATTTATTACTACTCATTGTCTTACTACATTTCTCAGAGCATATGATCTTACAAGTCCGTGGCTATTGCAATAATTACATCCGTGTAAATATTAGATGTTAGTTTGGGTGAGATCTGACTTTTATTAAAGATGACAGGGAGCAGAGGCACTAGTGAGTAACTAGAGAAATGAGTAATGGCTTGACATTTACAAAAGAAAACACTAGGCCTGAAAGACTAATTTTTCTAAAGGACAAAACAGTCTCTTCCTTTCTTTTGGTTTGTAAATATCTTTCTTTACAATTTTGGATAGTGGTTAAGATCGCTGGCGCTGAAACTTCACGGGTTGGTTTTCTATTGTGGTTTTGCCACCTACTTGCTGTGTGATATTTGGCAGGTTACTTGACCTCTCTGAGCCTCAGTTTTGTCATCTGTAAAATAGGGATAAATAAATAGTAATACCTCCTTTATATGGTGGTTGTGACTTGTAATCATCTTAATGCATGTAAATGGCTTAGAAAGGTATTATGAGAGTCAATAGTAAATGTGAACTTTTATTATTAGTTGCTCCGGGCTTCTTTTGTCCAGCTACTCCTGCTTCAGGTGTTAGTACGTTTGTTCATCTTTAAGCTCATAGTTAGAGGTTGTTAAACTCACTTGAGTCATGAGATCTTTTAACTTTGGTTCAGACCCCAGAAAAATCTGGGGAAATCTATGAAAGCAAATGATGAACAGGCTTAGTAGGCCTTCAAACCCAAGAAGAGTCGTTGAAAAATGGAAAGTTTTTGGCGCCAGCCCAGTGGTGTAGTGGTTAAGTTCACAGGCTCCACTTCGGCGTTCCCTGGTTTGGATCCCGGGTACAGACCTCTGCACCGCTCATCAAGCCATGCTATGACAGCCACCCTACATATACAAAGTAGAGAAAGATGGGTACAGATGTTAGCTTAGGGCTAATCTTCCTCAGCAAAAAAAAACCAACAAAAAACGAAAAACCCAGGAAAGGTTTTCACTTGGAAAGATACTGAGAAAACCCCCACCCTCCTATTTCCAAGGTTGTATTTGTGGATTGTCCTCTGGAGGATAAACTGTGTCAAATTGGTGGTGGTCACTCTTGTTTACCCTGTAAGGATCTGCACTGTGTTTGGAAATCAGTCTTTAGGGGCGACATCGATCATTTTATAGTTGGGAAGACCGTATTTATCTTCTTAATGAGATGCATTTTTTTCATATCTTGGAAATGATGCCCTGACTCAAATGGTGCAGAATTCTGTAAAGGTAAACCAGCAGGGATGCGGGTTGCTGGTTGCTTGTTCGTTTCTTTCTTCATCAGGTTCCCTGCTCTCATGTGGTTTGGATGAAATTCAGAATGAGCCCCGGGAGTGTGCTGGGGATGGGGCTGGATGCGTGCGATTCCTGTGCTGGTTTTTGTTAATCGCTGTGGGGTTGTTAGATCCTCATATCGCTGTTGGCCTCCTGCCCCTGGTTAAACAGAGGGGCCAGAGATGGGGAAAGATTCTTCTCATGCTTCCAAATACCTTGTCGAGACCTTGACCCTCTTTTGCAATGCAAGGTTGCTGTTGGAGGGTTTGGTGATTGGGTCCTCGGCTGGGCTGTGACCCGCTTCCCCCTGGACCTCTGACGCCTCCTCAGCTGTTGGCTCTTTAAGCAGCACATCTGCTGGGGTCTTCAGGAGGCTGCTGACCTCTGGGAGAAGTGGTTTTCTGGAGTAGGAGGGGTGTTCAGACATTTAACCATTCTTTGCATCTGTGATAGCGGCATTTAGTGAACATCTACGGTGGCTGCTGTGGGGACTATAGAGAGGAGACAGACCCTGTCCTACCACGTGTCTGCAGGGCAGACAGAAACCTGTCCTAATAAAAGGCATGCCTTGCTTCAGTGAGCAAACATTCGCTGACTGGTGGGAGGAAAGGAGGGCTAACAGGTAGCATGTGTACTTACGTCAGAATTGCTCAAGCGGTGTACTTTAAACAGACGGTTGGAGGCCAGGGTGCATTACTTCTGTTAATTTGATGGGAAACATTTATTGAGCACCTACCTTATGCTCAGTCCAGGGTTAAGTCCTTTATTCCCATTTTACAGATGGGATGACTGAGGATCAGAAAGGTTTTGAGAACTTACCCAGGATTTCTTTAGTGGTAAGTGGAAGAGCTGGGGTTTGAACTGTGCAGCCTGACGCCGTAGCCTGCACTCCACACGACGGCTCGATTTTGCCCACAAGGAGTTATCGATCCGGGGGTTCAGAACCCACCTCTTGCATGGCCTTTAACCTCTCGCTGGGCCTCGGTGCAAGTCTGTATGTGAGTGTGAGCACGTTACTCACCCTGTCCGAGCCTCAGTTTCCTCAGTAGTAAAAATAAGATCAGCCTCCTGGCATTTGTGGCGAATGTTAAGTGCCAGGCCGGCAGGAGGGGCACTTGAAATGTTACATCCCTTCCACTTTCTCTCCAGAGATGTCCGTCCTTCTGTTCTTGCAGACCTCCTCTGGACCCTGGTGTGGTGTTCTCTGGACACACCACTGGTGGCCGGTGGTCACTGAGCTGTTTTCTCCCCGTTTCCCAGGGATGATGGGCTACGGCATGGCCAAGAGTGCCGTGCATCAGCTCTGCCAGAGCCTCGCCAGCAAGAACAGCGGCATGCCGTCCGGGTCTACAGCCGTCGCCGTGCTCCCGTAAGTCACTGGCGGCTTCCCAGTTGCTGCCCTCCTCTGCCCTACTGTTGAGAGTTACTGTCGCTTTCCACCAGGGACTTGCGTGTGCCATCACCTTGGCTTCTAAAATTCACCAGAAGCCCCGAAGATACTTCTTCAGGTGCTGGATTATCCTGGGCCGTCCAGAATGGTTGATGGGCTGGTGGGCTGGGTCTTTCTTGCCTCTTGGTTGTTTTCTTTCCTTCTCTCCCTCCCTCCTTATTACAAGTAGCCTACCCCTTTTATTTTAATATTTGTAGTCTGTCTTTCACATCATTATAAGGTCAGTGTAGAGGAGAGCCTGTGTTTAGGCTTTGTGTGTATGTGTCGGGGGAGCCTAGGGGACAATATGGGAGATGTTCCTATTTGTGATCAGGAAGAAGGTCCCCATTCAGCTGTCCCAGGAGAGGCCGCTGCTCTGGAGGTAGGGTTCTTTCTCACCAGAGGGATTCCGGCACCATCTGGCTGCTCTCTTGCTATAGTCCGAGAGAGTGTGGACGTTGGGACTGCTGGGTGCCTAGACTTTTCAGTCCCCCTTCATTTGTGAGTGTCTGTGATTCTCTGACCTGGTCCCACAGCGATTTTCAACGATTCCCGAGGCCTGGTGTTCTTGGGAGAGTCACACATATCTGAATTCTGTGTGTTCTTACTGAAAATCATAAGGTTTCAAAGCAAACAGCCACAAAACAAAGGATGAGACTTTCTCATATTTAAAGGAATATTATTATTACTATTCAAAAATCCTTAGAAATGAGTCTGCCCCAGTTTAGGGTGTGAATGAAGACATAAACAGCAAAGCAATTTACTGTAAAGGCCATATTTTAAAATGGCAGCAGGTGGCTCTTTCATTTTGCTCCTGTCTGCCTGAAGGGTGAGTCACAACGCGCCTCACGAATTACTGGGATGTGATCTCCGTCACTGTGGACGGCTCCCTGGCCTCTCTCTGATTATCTGCATGTCATCTCTGCCAGAGGCTCACGGTGCATTTTCCTGTCTGGGGTGGAGTGGCAGCTGTTATACAGGGGAGGCACACATGACGAGCTTATCTCTGCTCCTCAGGGTTACCCTGGATACCCCGGTGAACAGGAAGTCGATGCCAGATGCCGACTTCCGCTCCTGGACGCCCTTAGAGTTTCTAGTCGAGTGAGTATTGCAGCAATCATGTCAGTGATTAAGCGGCTTCCAGCCCCCGTTCTCTGCCCTTTATGGGCTAGAGGACAAGTCCGTGTTCTCTTGGTTTATTAACACGGGTGGTTTTGTGAGGTTACCAGCCTCCGAGGGTATATCACACATTCGTGTGAATCTCAGAGTGGAGGGGTCCATGGTGCTGAAGTGAATCCTGGCTCCTCCACTCACCAGCGAACAAACCTGAGTGTGCTGTTCAACGCTCTAGGCCTCCCTTTCCCTGTCTGTGTGATGGGGTCCAGAATACTTGTTAGGAAGATTAAATGTGGCAGTGTGAGCCAGGCACGTGGCACCATGTCTGAGCCACAGCGAGTGCTCAGTGAATCTCTGCTCCTGTTGACGTCATCATCTCTGTAACGAGGAGCAGCTGTGTGGGAGCAAGACGCCGATCTAGGAGGAACATCTGGGCTCATGTGTGTGAATCAGTGCTGAGCCGCAGACCCACAGAGGGTGGGCTGGGACAGCCATCGTTCCAGAAATCATGTTCACCTGTTTGTAGCATTTGAAAACTCAGGTGACAGGTCGGCATAAAGTTTGCTTTGAAATGTCCGTGAGCACGTTACCTTCTCTGCCATCCATGGTTAGAAGGGCATCTCTGTCACCTCCTCCGGACTGTTGACGAGGCTGAAGGAGAAGGAAGACAGTTTATAGCCTGCCTGAGTGCCACATGTGCTCCTACACATCCAAATGAGGCTGGTCCCCCACAGAGCCCTCCCCTGGAGATGGGGTCATGACATCGTGCAGTACTTTAGGGAGTTTTAGCATTAATTAGGGAGTTATTAATTAAGCCTCTGTAACTTCACTTGGAGGGGGAGCGCCAATGACTTGACTGTTAAACATCAACTCTGGTCTAGATTATAGATCGGCACTAATGAATGTCCCGGGAACTCGTCAGTGCCTTCTAATGAAAGAAGGTCCAAAGTCCCAGCCGGGGGATTGTCAGTGGACGGTGTGCTCAAATGTAAATGTTTTGTTTTAAACATTATCAGCTACGTGCTATCCCTGTGAATTCGTTGTGTACTTTTTTCATCCCTATCGTGTTAGAGGAGATCTTTTCGACTCCCCCAAACGGTTAGTTATTAAATGCCCCCATTCCTGCATTTAACAGATTTTATTGTAATAGTCTGTTTTTTGTATCTTTTTTCCATTGCTTGGCACAGCTGTGGGTGCTCCATAAATGTTTGCTAAAAAAAAAAACAAACAAATGAACTTCTTTTTCTTTTAAATTTCTGGGAAGGTAATATAGCATAAAGTATTGTGTGCATGTCTATCTCTTAGAATTAACTAATTAAAATCTTTGTTTTGTTTTGAGTTTTTTTTTGGGTTTTTTTGAGGAAGATTAGCCCTGAGCTAACATCCGCTACCAATCCTCCTGTTTTTGCTGTGGAAGACTGGCCCTGAGCTAACATCCTTGTCCATCTTCCTCTATTGTATATGTGGGACGCCTGCCACAGCATGGCTTGATAAGTGATGTGTAGGTCTGCACCCAGGATCCAAACTGATGAACCCTGGGCCGCCAAAGCAGAGTGCATGAACTTAACCACTATGCCACCGGGCGGGCCCCAATTAAAATTTTTTTTAATCACTTAAAATCATACCACTGTATTGTAAAAGATTCCAACAATGCAGAAAAATACAAAAATGCAAGTTAAAGTCTCACCAAATCCTGCCACTCAGGAATTAGAATGAACCAGTACTGAAGTTGCTGGGGACCTGCGTATGTGTCCATGATGCCTGGTGGCTTTTTCACATCCCCCCAAGCCATTGATGTGAATATAAGCATGTGTCCAGATTTTTGCTTGTAAAACGTAAAGCTTCTCTTCTTTCTTCTAGAACCTTCCATGACTGGATCACAGAGAAAAACCGACCAAGGTCAGGGAGCCTAATCCAGGTGGTAACCACAGAGGGAAAGACGGAGCTTATCCCGGCATACTTTTAAGCTTCATCCTCAGTTCCTGCTGGGGACCTGCCAGAAAAGTCGTTAATCTGTCTCAGTGTGGCTGTGTCTGGCCCTGTATCTTCTGCAATTCTATTCGTGGTACGAGATAGTGGGTCCTATTTTTCTCTCACCTAATGTGCATTTGTTCTCCTAGGACAGTGTAAAATGTTTATGTGAAATAAAAATGTCTGAGAGTGGAGGCCTGCAGATAGCGCCATGAATCTGTGTTAACTACGTAAATTTAGGAGGTCCCTGAACGGCCCCCTCTGTATGGGCGTCATCTTGAATTGCTTTTGAGACTCCGTTTATCTGTCCCTGACAGTGACTGTCGACTACTTTAGAGATTTGTTGGTGTCGGGGACGTTTTGGGGCCTGACTTATTGTGAATGTTATGTTCACGTCACAGTTTTTGTAGTCTCGAATTAAACTGCCTTAAAACTCTTTGTGGTGTAAGCAAAACCCCGTGGGCTCCGTTAAGATATCTTTCTCCTGTGCAGTTGCCAAGTGTGCAAGAGAACTGCTTGTGGTTATTTGCAGTTTGTCTTCCTAATAAATGGCCTTCGTTTATTGTGTTGTCTTTAATCAGCTACAATTCTATGCAGTCAGAGATGAACACACTGGAATCATGGGCTCCTAGCAGTCTTTAGTCTCATGTTCTCTCAAGGGGTGGACTCAAACCCTGAAATGAAGTTTTTCAACGTGGTAACACAGGCACGGTTCCCTTTCGGGCGCATCAGACTCTGAGAGGGAGGGGTAGCCATGTGCTTTTAGGAACGTCCCTCCGCGTGACTGAGACAGGCTGTCCTGACTGAGAGCTAGGATCTTCTCCCCATCATTTTACAGATGAGGAAACTAACCCCAGAGAGATGACTTACCATCCTTGTGCCACTAAGTGGCAGAGCTAAGCTCGGAACTCTGGTCACCAGGTGGCTGCTGTTCATAAAAGCCTGTACCATGGGTTTCTTTTGATTCTTTTCTTTTTTTTTTGAGGTAAAAGTCACATAAAATTAATCATTTTGAAATGAAAACATCAGTGGCATTTAGTATGTTGACAATGATCTGTACCCACCACCTCTGTCCAGTTCCAACACATGTTCATCACCCCACACCCACCAAGCCGTCACTCCTCATTCCCCCTGCCTCCAGCCCCTGGCAGCCACCAGTGGGCTTTCTGTCTCTGAATTTACCTATTCTGGATGTTTCATAGAAATAGAGTCATGCGCTGTGTGGCTTTTTGTGTCTGGCTTCTTTCAGTTAGCATGCTTTCAGAGGTTCATCCACACTGGAGCAGCTATTAGTGCTTTATTCCTTTTTGTGCGTGAATAATATTCCATCGTTTGCATATGCTGCAGTTGGTTTATCCATTCATTGTTGATTTACATTTGGCTATTTCTGCCTTTTGGCTGTTGTGAATAGTGCTGCTGTGAACATTCACGTATGAGCATTTGAGTATGTTTTCAGTTATTTTGGATATATACCTGGGATTGGGTTACTCGGTCATCTGGTAATTCTCTTAACTATCTGAGGAGTCTTTTTTGATTCTTGACACTATACTGCAAGGCGATGTCCAAATTTTACAGGAAAGAAGACGGCTCAGAAAGGTTTGAAAGATATGTTGAAAGTCAACCAGTGTTACCGTCTGAATGTTTGTTGAAATCCTGAAGCCCAGTGTGATGGTCTTACGAGGCGGGGCCTCTGGGAGGTGAGCCCTTTATAGGATTAGCACCCTGGTAAAAGCAGCTGCAGTGTGAGGACACAAGAAGTCTGCGACCTGGAGGAGAGCTCCCACCCACCATGCTGGCACCCTGATCTCAAAGCTATGAGAAATAAAAAAACTAGCTTCAGTGTTTTGTTATGGCAGCCCGCATGGACAAAGACACCAGCCAGAGAGCAGTGCAGCTGGGACTGGATCGAAAGTGTAGCTGTTGCCAGCACCTGCACAAGTTACACAGCTCCTTCCATGTCTGTTCCTCCATCCTGTCCTCCCAATAATAGCTAAGATCGATGGTTTCTAATTTTCAGTTGAAGAGAGGGTTTCGTAAGTCAAGTGACTTGCTGAGGGTACTGTTAGTTTCAGGAGAGCTGGTTTTCATTCCGTTTAGAAAGTAGACGCTATAATTGATTATGCAGGGGTGTTTCTTTTCCTTTCCTTAGGCTTCACAACCCGGTGATGTGCAGCGAGAATGTAAGGGGAAAGTGGGTGAGGAAGAGGGGTGTTTTTCTCTTATGCGTCAGTCAGTCATTCAGCAAGTAATTTTTGAGTGCCACCTACGTAACAGGCACTAATCTAGGTGCCTGGGACATATAGTGAATTAAGTAGACAAAGACCCCTACCTTCAACAGAGTTTCATTCTAATAGGGGGAGGGGGTTGAAGATTAATCAATAAATTATTGTAATGTAACCTGAATACATTTTACAGTATGTGAAAAAGGTGTGAAGTGTGGGGGAAAAGAACAAGGTAAGGGGTTAAGGATGTTGGAGAGAGAGGGGGTTGCAATTTCAGACAGGGCAGTGTTATGGACTGAATGCATCCCCCAAAATTCATATCTTGAAGCCCTAACCCCCAATGTGGCTGTATTTGCAGATGGGCCTCTAGAGAAGTAGTTAAGGTTAAATGAGGTCAAAAGGTAGGGCCTCATTTGATAGGATCAGTGTTCTTATAAGAAGAGACGCCAGGCGGCTCTCTTTCTCTGTGCTCATGCACTGAGGAAAGACCATGTGACGATACAGTGAGAAGGTGGTCGTCTGCAAGCCAGGGAGAGAGTCCTTACCAGAAACCAGACTGGCCAGCAGCTTGATCTTGGACTTCTGGCCTCCAAGAAATTCACTTCTCTTGTTTAAGCCACCCCGTCTGTGGTATTTTGTTATGGTAGCCTGAGCTAAGACGGACAGTGAGGGAGGTCCTCATGTGAGACGATGACATTCAAGCAAATCTTAAATGAGGTGCCACTTGGATATGTGAAGTGAGAGTGGCTCAGGCAAAGGAACCAGACAAGAGTGTGCCAGGAATGGCTGAGGAGCTCGAGGAGGCCTCAGTGGCTGGAGTGGATCAGTGGGGTGAGTGAAGGGGCAGTTGTAGATGAGAGCAGAGACATGATCGTGTAGGGCAGAGGGTCCCAAACTTTCTAGATCCATGGTGCCCGTAGTGTGTTAGCAATTTTTGACAATCAAACAAAATACCTAACAGTGGTTTTATGAGTAGTTAGGTCCTAGGAATAGTTAATAGTCTGTCAGATATTGCTGTGTTAACCTAGAAAATGGAAACTATCCTGTGCGCTCCTAAGAATTCACTGTGCTGTCCTGGGGTACCTTGGTGCACAATTTGAAAATGGCAAGTGTAAGTTTGTGGTGGCCATTTTAAAGACTTTGGCTTTGATTTTTGGCAGCCATTGTGAGGATTTTGAGCAAAGGAGAGACATGAATATATTTTAAAAGATTGTTTTGACTGTTGTGTTGAGGATAGTACTGAGGCCATTGCAATAATCTAGGTAAGAAATGATAGTGGTTGGAGGGGAGGGGAGGAGGTGATGAGAGGAAAGTTAAATAATAGCATGTATTTTAAAGGTTGAGTCAACAGGAGTCTTGGTTGATTTGATATGAAGGTGAGACAGAGAGAGTAGTCAATGATGGCTCCCAAAGTTTTGACATGAGCAAGAGGAAAGATGGAGCTGTTAATAAGTGCGGTGGAGAAGGCTGTGGGTAGAGCAAGTGTTGTTGGGAGTATCTGGAGTGTCATTTGGACATACAGGTTTGCTCTGTCTAATATCCCCGTGGGGATATCAAGTGGGCAGATGTATTTTGAGTCTAGATTTCAAGAGAGAGAGATCTGGAATGGAGATAAAAACTTGGGGGTCATGAGCATACAATTGGCATTGAAAGCTGTGAGACTAGATGAGATCACTAAGAGAGTGTGTCATTCAGAATCGAGGAGACAGAAACCACACAATGATGTGAACAGGGCAAGTCTAAGATAAAGGATTATTGAATAAAAGGAATTAAGTATAAAGGGCTAAAGAACTGTGAAGAGTACCCTTGGGCTGAGGGAGAGGGCTCCAGGAAGGACAAATATGGAAGGCAGACCCCTCCTCAACCCTGGGGGCCCTGGTAAAGACTGGAGAGCGGGGGAGGGGAGAAACCCCATGTCCCCTCCCACCTCAGGTGACATCTCTGGGGGCCAAATAGATCTTTTTTGGAGAGTAATTTTTTTTTTTTTTGAGGAATATTAGCCCTGAGCTAACTGCTGCCGAGCCTCCTCTTTTTGCTGAGGAAGACAGGCCCTGAGCTAACATCCGTGCCCATCTTCCTCTGCTTTATTTGTGGGATGCCTACCACAGCATGGCTTTTGCCAAGTGGTGCCCTGTCTGCACCTGGGATCCAAACGGGCGAACCGTGGGCCGCCGAAGCGGAACGTGTGAACTTAACCGCTGCACCACCAGGCTGGCCCCTGGAGAGTAATTTGATGGTCTCTATCAATACTCTGAAAATTTTATACCACTTGACCTAGTAATCCCATATCATAGATGCTATGAAATAATCAGAAACAAGGACAAACATTTGCAACAAAGATGAATTACTGCATCGGTAATTACTGAAATCTTCAAAACAACTCAAAAGACCAACAACGGAGTATTGTTAAGTCATCAGCGCAGCTCAAGTTTGAGCACTTTCTAGGCCATAAGTACTACTTCATAAAGATTAACCAATCCTCACAACGCTCTGCTCTGTGGAAACTCCTATTTTTATGTCCGTTTTGCAGTTGAAAAGAGAGAAGCATGGAGAGAAGTTACTTGCCCAAGGTCACACAGTTAGGAAGTAGCGGGAGCCAGGATTTGAACAGGCATTCAGCTGACAGTCTGTGCTCTCAGCCACCATCCTATCCCAGCCTGCAAATGAGCCCTACAGTTAGCACAATCTAGCTGTGCTATTAACAAATATAATACCATTGTTAAAGATCCCATTTTCAAATAATTCTTAGTGATATGAGAAAATCTTCATGGTGTAAGGCCAAGTAAAAGGCAGATGCATGATATATCTTAGAATATGATGTGACCCCAATTATGTTAAAACACATCAGACCGTCGTTTTCAAAGTGAAGGCACACCTTTGTATATTTCACTGTCACCATCACTGAAACCAGTGATGTCTTACACTGACGGTGTATCATAGTATAATTGGCAGTGTTTTCAATGCCCATAAAGTAATGGAGTAATTTAAAACCAACCATGTCTTAGATTCAGTGGAATACTATATACGGGATGGTGAGAAAAACTGGAAGGAAATGCACCAAAATATCAGCAGGGAGGGGCCTCTGGGCTATGGGCGATTCCTTAAGTTTATACAAATGAGGTGAATTGTCACCGCTGGCCTCTACCTTCTGTCAGAGAGCCTTGGTTTGCTGCCTCTTGTTATCACGTAGTTAATTATTTGTCCTCATTTGTTTGTTGTCCATTTTGCCTGTTGGACTATAACTAACAAAAGGCAGACCCTGTATGTTTTGTAAAACACCACGTCCCACTCTATTCATATAGCTGTGGGATCAGGCCAAGTAGTTGACACATAGCAGCAC